AACATGAATCAAATATGTATCTTTATTCATTTACAATAAACTCATAAAGTACATCATTCTGATTGAAGCTAAGGGCATACAAAACTGTCTAACAGTTTCTGTATAGTCTATGCCATAAGTTTGTGTGAATCCCTTTGCAACCAATCTGGCTTTATACCTCTCTACAATACCTTTAGCATTATATTTCACAGTAAACACCCATCTGCATCCAACATGTTTCTTCCCTTCATGCTAGTTAACTAGTTCCCATGTGTTGTTCTTGACAAGAGCATCCATCTCTACTTGCATTGCTTCCTTCCATTCAGGTATCAAAACAACTTCTTGCACTTTTCTGGGTATAGGAATAGAAGAAATAGATGCCAAGTAAGATTTGTAGGATTCTGAGAGACAATTATAATAAAGGAACTTGGAAATGCAATGGGCAGTGGATGAGGTGCAACAGTGCTTCCCTTTACGAATAGCAATTGGAAGATCAAGGTCATCTGTCGGTGAAGGTTGAACCTCTGTAACAGTGGGATCAACAGTGAGAGCAATAGTAGTGTCTGGATTTGGAGCTGTACAAGATGTTGGAACTGGCATGGATTGTTGTTGAGTACGAGAATCAACCTGCCTCTACCACTTTCTGTGATACACCCTCAACTCTTTGCATTTTTGACAACTTTCTTCGCAACTCCCCTGCTCAGTAACCGAGACAGGTAAAGGAACTCTTGGAGCTAAAACTGAAATCCTTTCCTCACTATTCTCCCCCTGAGGAGAAGCCTTATGATAGTAAGGCATATCCTCAAAGAAGATGACATCCATGGACACAAAGCGTTTCCCTGAAACTGGCTCATAACAGCAATATCCCTTTTGATTTTGTGCATACCCAAGGAAAATACACTTAGTAGCTTTGGGATCAAACTTGGAGCAATGAGGTCCAAGGATTTGGACAAAACAAGTACACCCAAAAGTTTGAGGGGAATAGTGAATAGGTCCTTATCTGGATATAGAAGACTGAATGGGGTTTGCGTGCTTGGGACCCGTGAAGGAACCCTGTTAATGAGGTATATGGCTGTATGGATTGCATCTCCCCAGAACCGTATGGGAACATTGGAGTTGAGCATGATGCTTCTAGCTACCTCTAAAATATGTTTGTTTTTTCTCTCAGCAATCCCGTTTTGCTAAGGTGTGTGAGGACAAGTGCTTTGATGAATGGTCCCATGATCAAGGAGATAGGATGCCAAGGGTTTTGCAAAGTATTCCTTAGCATTATTAGATCTAAGAATCTTGATCTTGGTTTCAAATTGAGTTAGAATCATCTTATGGAAAGCTTGAGTCAGAGAGGGGACCTCATCTCGAGAGTGCATAAGATAGACCCATGAAAAACGGGTATAGTCATCAACAAATAATAAGAAATATCTGTACCCCCCCCCCCCCCATGGTGGGAGTATGGTAGGGCCCCCAAACATCGGTATGCACAATCTCAAAAGGAAGGTTGCTTCTTTTATTACTTAAAGGATAAGATGATCTACTATGTTTTGCATGTTCTCAACTTTCACATTTTAATCCAGACACTTCTACTGACTCAAACAAGTTTGGAAAAAGACTCTTTAAAGACCCAAAAGATAAATGACCTAAGCGGTTGTGCCAAAGCATAATCTTACTACAAGACTGAGAAACAAACAATTTTAATCACCTTCTTCGTTTCCAGATCCTGTGAATGTTCCAGCAGGTATACTCCATTCATCTCACGGCTAATCCCAATCACCTTCTTCATTTCCAGATCCTGAAAAATACACTAATCAGGGAAAAAAATTACCGAACAGTTTTGATTTTTAGTAATACTACTAACTGAAAGTAAGTTAGCACTAAGCTTGGGAACATGCAAAGCTGAGGATAGGGTGATGGTATCTAATAATTTGATGTCTCCCTTGCCAAAAATTGGTACAAGAGATCCATCAACAATAGAAACTTTGTCTTTCCCAAAGGATAAACAATAGGTGCTAAATAGAGTAGATATGCTGGTCATATGATCTGAAGCACTTGAATCTATTACCCAGGAAGGTCTAGTATTACCTGGGACGGAAGCATGACAAGCAATAGCTCTTGTACTTGTATGAGCAAGGGCTGAAGTAGGCTGAGCTGAACTACTAAATTCATTTTCTAGCTGAGTCAGAGAAGCTCGGACTACAGCTAGGGTATCTAGAGGAGTGCCTCTTGTGCCTGATGAAGTTGTACTATCAGTGTTGACAGCCATATTAACATTCCCTTTCTTATTTCTAACATTTGTTGGAACTAGATGAGGGTGCAACTTCCAACAGATGTCCTTAGTATGTTTAGGTTTCTTGTAGTGTTCACATACTAAGTCCTTCTTAGCTTCCTTCTTCTCCTTATCCCCCCCAAATTTAGGTCTAACTGCTACCAAGGCTGATTCGGAGGGCTGTTGCTACAACATAACCTTTCTCCTAGTTTCTTCACTATGCACTAGGGAATAGGCTTGTAATAAAGTCACACTATCTCTTGTTAACAACTATTGTCTCACAATGTCATATTCAGAGTTTAGACCAGTTAGGAACTCAAAAACTATATTAATTTCAACCTGCTTTCTATATGTTTGTGCATCTTTCTGACTCTCCCACTCAATTGTTTCAAGATGGTCAATTTCATGTCACAGGGATTTTAAGGTTGAAAAGTAAACAGAGACCTGCTTCTCTCCTTGCCTCAGATTTTTAACCTCACATTTTAGCTCATAAGCCCTAGCAACATTAAGAGGCTGAGAGTAAATTTCCTTCATAACATCCCATATTTCCTTAGCTGTTTTGGCCTACAAGTATGTTGTTTTGGCCCACAAGTAGTTTCGGATGATGTGTGGCTGCATAGAGTTGCACAGCCATGTCATCACCAAAAAATTTTCTTGGACCCACCTAGCATAAGTAGGGTCCTCCTTGGAGGGTTCCTTCACATCCCCTAACAAGAAGTTCAATTTTCCTCTACCTCCAATAGCCATCATGGCTGATTGGGCCCATTCCAAGTAGTTTGATCCATCAAATTTAACAGTTGTAATCTGAAAGGTGTTTTCAGTCATGTTACCTGAACCACCAGTCCCAAAAGTACCTTCCCCTTGGTTCTTGTACTCCATTCTAAGTTAAGAAGAGGCTTTAAACTACTGTGACAAGAAAAAACTGTATTTCAAGGCTGATAACAGCCAACCTAGGACAATGATTTTACAGTTAGATAACAGTCAACTACTGTCCTGGGATTGATATCAGTCCTGAGATTTTCTATCCGTACCTCTCTGAATGAATAACAAAGTCCTTTTGAGTATTAATCTCAAGAAAAGGTACTTACTTTATGAAGAAAAAGGCCCAGAAAACTGATTGCTACCTTCAGTCATCAAACTTGATCAATCGATTACTGTCAGCACCTTGAATCTTGATCAAAGAACCAAGAAAAAAAACTGATCGGCACCTCCAATCTTGATCAAGAATCGATCTTGATCACTCAATTCCTGCCTGATTCTTCCTGATTACAAGAAGCTCTCTCCAATCTTAGTACAGCTG